CAGCATGGTAGTGTTGATAAACGAGCAATGCACTCCGCAGCAAATGTTGCTTGTGGATCTGAGCCTCAAACCCGTCCCAGGCATCGGATACCTTATGAGTCAGTAGCACTGGAGAAAAAGCGGCAAGTCCCGAGCGACCGCGATCAAAGCAGGTTAGGTGGCGACTGCAACGTCAGCCCACGAAGAGCCTGGAGATCGTGAGAACTGGTGGGCAACAATAGCTAGTGAAATGGAAATAATAGCTGCATCAGAAAATGGTCAAAGATTATTTCAGCGAATACGCGAGGTTGGTGAACCGCAGTTAGTGAAACGATCTCCGACAAAAGTGGACAAGCTATTCAAAATAGGGAACAACGACTTGACCGGTGGGCGGAGTAACTCAACGAACAGTTCAGCTGGCTAGGCGCTATCCAGACTATAAAGTCTGTTGTAGCTGAGGCTCCGTGGGCAGTCATGTGAACCTTCTACTGCAGCAGCAGTTTGACCTTGCATTCAAGCCCGGAAGAAAGGAAAAGCAGCTGAACCGGACGGGCTTCCTCCTACTCTTTTCAAGATGGGGGTGATGACCTGGCAGACTTCAATACTAAATTAATGCGTAACATGGTCACACGAACGAATTCCATCATCCTGGAGTGAATCGTTGATCATTTCAATTATTAGAAAGGGTGCTCGCAACGACTGCACAAAACACCAAGGAATAATTTAGATCCCAATCGGCACCAAAGTATCATACTTCGACGTCTGACACAGTTTAGGGAGACAAATATCCGCGAACAAGCATGATTCCGACCAGGTCGAGGTTGTCGACCAAATCTTCACTCCCCGTCCAACTCTCGAACAATGCCATACACACAGTCGGTCAACGGTTGTCTTGTTCCTTGACCTCAAAGTATGTTTCGACTGGGTTGACCGCGAATTCCTTTTGAGTTTGCTTCTTCGCCAAGGAATGCCGCAGAAGCATGTGAACATAGTGAAGACATTAATTTCATACTTCCGGTAGTCTGAGGGTCTGCGGTGATATGAGTAGGTCGTTCATAAGTAGCAGCGGTGTTTGTCAAGGGCGCCCTATTTCACCTTTACTGTTCATTTTCGTCGGCGACGAAATGCTGCGGAACGCACTCACTGGTCTCCAAAATATTGGTATTGAATGGTCAGCTGGAGAAAAGCTGGGCGACTTAGAGTACGCTGATAACCTCATTTGCCTGCTTCAATGTATGGAGGATGCTCAAAACGCTCTTGACAAACTAGCAAGTTCTGTTGCTCCGTTCGGCATGCTCTTTGCACCTTTAAAGTGCGAAGTGATGCTGCAAGACTGGATGTCACCGAATCCCGTTCTGAAACCAGACGGTCAGTTGACTGCTTCTCATTCTTGGGTGGCTCTGTGACCAACGACAGAATTGTATCGCCCGATTTTTCCAAGGCTCGCGCAACACACGCAGGAATTAAACACTTATGGCGACGACGTGGTGTCTCCGTTAAGTTGAAAAGTCGCGTATACTGCGCGACTGTACGATCAGTTCTGCTTCAAGGTAGTGAAACCTTGAATTTGCAGGCAGAAGACACCAACCGACTTCGATAATCAACGCTTACATAGCTTTGACACAGGTGAGATGCAGTGCGCGTGTTGGTAGCTTAGAGGTAAACTGTTGTAAGCTCATCGACAAAGAATTCACTATCACGTCGAATTCCGATTTTTAGTTACACATTTTCGGGTGAACAGCAGACGGAGTGGACCTCATAGTTGCAACGACCTGCTGTTCAGTGATGGAAACCTGCAACCTAAGCCTCGGAAACTAAAGTAGCGAAGTACTTGAGGCCCCGCTAGATTAGGCGCAGCATTGAATCGGCCACCAGAAAATTTGTCTACTACCAAAGTTGAGGACGGTGTCGGCGTTGGAACCTCTGAATATAGGGTCCAAAGAACACCGGTAACAGCGACCAAACCACTGCACCACCGCCAGCTTCCCTGGTTAGGAATTTTGTGCATGCCTAACGGTCGCACACCGCATCGCGGTTTATGTGCTGTTGCCGCTCCGTGCTGGAAAAAACGTGAACGTCGATAGAACGTGGAGACGATGCATGGGGAAATGCGCGTCGCGATTAGACAAAATAGGTGTCTAAGGTTTTCCGGGCTAGTGTCCAACCGGTCGATTGGAGACTGAAAGACATGATGGCGAACTGACAACAGTGGCATCTTCGTTGCCATTTCTTATCTGACCAGAGTGCTCAAAAAGGTGTGCATGCACAGTGGGATTGACCATCGACTATCACGTTCTTTTTCCAGTCATTCTTACTGACACTGTATACATCGGGAGCCTGGTGGTACGATGAGAATGATGATAACGATTCTAATGATCATTATGGTTGTAATGCAGGACTAGTCGACAATCAGTCTTTCAAAACTGAAGCTATACCAAAAGGAGTAATAGTTCTTTGGTCCGTGAAATGTGATTTGCCGTCTTCTATACATTCGAACAGGGAAACGATATTTTCAGTCTGCTTCAAGTCACACAGACTTCACTAGCTGCTAATTCAACGCAAAGATTTCGGAGACCACTTAGGGTGATGCCCAACATTTCGTTTAGCACTGAAATTAAATTAGGTGTTCGACTTGAGTTTACTGTAGCACCTGGACTATACACCGATATAAAATTCAACCATTTTGGCATTTGACATACCAAAAAGTTTGTACAGCAAGGGTTTGCGAAGAGGAATTTACCTTGGCTCCGAACAAGTACCCCGCACCACGAGGACTAACAGTCCACTGGGGAACATCATCGGGATCAGACCACAGAATGTCGCAAAGCGGACCAGTATGCGGAACCTCCATATTGCGCTCGATAGTACGCAACTGATCCAGAGTTTTTATTTCTGGAGAAAGGCCACCGTGAACACACAAGACGGATTCTTCGACCAGAGCAGCAATAGTGAATAAATCAAACACTTTGCAGCAATGATGCCAGGGATTCGCATTGCCATATTTGTTAATGCATTCGTCGTAAAATCCATAGCACTATAGGGGAGGAAAATTTACTTTTATTGTTGGTCCCGATTGATGATACCAAATGTCACTCAAGTTGACACCTAAATAAGATGAATTTACTCCGACGCTTAAAGGAAAACATTTAAATTCCACTTTTTGATTATCTGATCGAGGAGTTACAGAAGAATGACTAACAATGATCTTCAAGTAACCAAGTAAAAAATTGAGGAGACTTTCAACTGACAATCCTTCTGACACTACGTTCATGCACAATGATCGAAGCAAAAAGAAATCAGAAGGATGGTCGGTCCAAATTAATATCACTCATTTCACAAAACGACTCATAAATAACTGGTGTAAAAGCGGGCCAATCACATAGTGCCACCTTGTCTCTGAACGGAACCACATCAGTGGTTGATATTTCTGAGGTCATCATTACTATGATGCAGAGAAAAATTCGCTGATAGCTGAACCCATTCAGTATAAGAAATTATTTGGTTTCTAAGACTCCTTTCAAGTAATCTGACAATTTTAACTATCCATAATGATTTTTCGGTGACCTAGGGTGATGATCAAGTGACCGACCACTTGTGTTGTGTGGTGATAAATAGAATATTTATTAATACGGAATACAAATGCATGTACGAAAGGTAGTCTAATGAGGTACAAAAGTAATGAGTAAACCAAAATCCGTATGTCAGCGCAGTTATCCAAGACGATGCACTTGACTTGGGGTATCAGAAAAGAATTCATATGAAAAGATATCTTTTCATTGATGAAAAACTGATCAGTTATTATTCCAGAAAAAGATATAATGAATATGTACTTTTAGGTTTTCTCTACCTGTGTGACTTGTCTGCTTTCATGATTGCCTCGGAGAAGTGTGATTCTATCTGGATACTT